ATGAGCAGTGTGGAATGAATAGTCCAGAACACTGAGATGAGTCAAGAGACCAGGGTTTTCTTTCAAGCATGGCCACTTGTTGAGTGAAACTGAATCACTTAATTTTTTTCCTCTAAAATTTCTTATCCATAAAATGAAAATAATATGTTTTCTGGTCTGGTCCTAAGTTTAATGTAATTTAAGAAACATGGTGGTAAATTTAAATTGTAAATCATTTCTAGGTTTTCTTGCTATTTGATATTTACAGGTAGTTCTAACTCCAGTGATTACCTTGATCTTTGTTATAGTTAATTGTCCTGATCCAGGAAAACTGTCAGGTTTATTCAGTTTTCCCCCTAGAGTTTCTGTGATGCTACACAGGTCTTCTCTAGTCAAATAAAACCATATTTCTTAGTCCATAAGAGGATGGCAAAAAGTGTTTCTGTTCAATTCAGTGTTGGGATAGTAATGATAATAGTTGACATTTATATAGTACTTTAAAGTTTACTTAGTGCTTTATATACATACTCTTATTTGATCCTTATAACAACTTTGTGTGATGAAATATCTATAGATATTATTTACAATTTATAGAAGTGGATATTGAAACTCAGTTGTGTATTGCCCCTGGTCAGAAGTGGGACTCCAGCCAACCTAGATCTTCTTAATTCTGAGTACGGTACCATTTCTGACCATGCTGCCACTGTCAGAGGACCTGGAAAAGCCTTTTAATTTGGCCTGAAGAACTCTTTGTATAAATCCACAGAAAATCTTATAGATCAGGGCTGAGCACTTAATAATTGGCAGATCCAATTACATCATCATGATTGTTTACTTACTCTTAGTGAGTATATGAACTATTTAGTTTATATTTTTTTTTAGTAAGGGATACAGGGACTGCTTGAGGCTGAAATTTTCTCCAGAGATTGAAGACAGCATGTTTTCTCTAATCTCATGAGGTACCTAAAAGGCAAGGTAACAGTTTTCCTGGCCTGGACATGTTTGCACAAGTTAGGAAGGAAAAACGTTATGAAATGATTCAACCGTTTTGTTAGTAAAAATTATATAGTCTTTAGTTTCAACAAATCAACTGCATACTACAAGATGGAGAACATTTGTAAGCCCAATATGAGCCAATGGTGTGACTCAGCTGCCAAAAAAAGCTAATACAATTTTAGGCTTTGTTAATAAATGCATAACTTATAAACCCAGGAAGTTAACAATCCTCTTCTATGTATTTGTCAGGGAATAGCTCTGTTATTCAATTCTGGAAGCTACATTTTAAGAGGGGGAATTGATTGACAAATTGGAACCTATCCAGATGTGGTTAATTAACATGTTAAAAGATCTGGGAACCATGTGGTATTAGGAAAGTTTGAAGGAAGTAGAGTTATTTAGCTTGGAAAAGAGAAAACTTTGGCAGGGAGGAAGAAGGAGCTGTGATAACTATCTTCCCATATTTGAAGGCAATATACAGAACAAGAGTTGGATTTGTTGTGTGTTCTTTCGCAGGGCAGAAATAGGTATCAGTTACAAGGTGGCAGATTTTGGCTCAGTATCGGAAAGAAATTTCCAACAACTGAAGATGTACAAAATGGAATGAGGTTTTTTTTTTTGTGATCTAGAGAGGGTTATTACAGTGAAATTCCTATATAGTGAAGGGGGTTGGACTAAATGATCTCCAAGACCTTTTCCATTTATAGAGTCCATGATTTTATGGATAGGTTATGGTTAAAATCCTGTGTTTGATAGCATAATGGCTGGCTATTATTAAAAAATGCTTTGACTGGTTAAGATAACCATTGTTGGTATTGGCTAACTTAACACTATTGACAACAATTTTTTGTATTGATTGTAATCAGCATGTTGTATGAGATGGTAACCAAATAACATTAAGCAAAATGCTTTAATGTATTCTTCTGAGGGTTAAATGAACCAAATGGTGTTGGTGAATGTTTAACAATTGACTCTCAAAAAAAATGTATTCATGACACACTTTTAAGTATAATCTGCATTATTAACATTTTCTTTGTCACTTTCTTAAATCTGAACAATTAATGGTACAATAAATCAAACTCTGATTTGTAGTGTTTGCCAATTTCTGAGATGTAAATGGTTTACAAAATTTTAACATTTGGCTTTTGTACCAGTTTCAGCTGGCTCCAGCACCTTCTGGTTAAAACCAAATTTTTCCTAAGATAAGTGCAATATGGTTAATAGAGGTAATTTTATTAGTGATCTGGGAATTCGCCTGAGGAAAATAAACCTTAACATATGTATTGAAGCCCATCTCCATATGTGCTGTATATCATGGCTTCTCTTATTCTATAGGGAATGTATAGGGCTTCCACTGCACATAGAAACAGTGAATCTCCCTTTTCTTCCCAATGAAACATGAAGTGATCTGTTTGTGAATTTGTTAAAGGTTAAGACAGGGTGGTGAAAGATTTCCTTGTGAGGGATTAGATTTTCGCAATTATTGCCTGGGGATGTCTTTCAACACTTGGTATTGTTCAGTCTGTTGCATCAGCTTTAGTTTTAACATCTGAAAAATTCCAGTGGGACCATATAATGATGAGTATATTCTAGAAAACATCCTTGTGTTCAGTCTTCAAAATAAGCAAATTAATGCTTCCACTCTTGAATTTAGAGTATATTAACTACTTTTTGTTAGGGTCACACTATAAAAAAATTGGGACTTTATATTTCTGCTTTGCTTTACTTTATTGTGTTTGATATTTGTATTTAGTAAAAAGGATTCCAGTAGCTTTTATTTAAATATATTTCTTGAATTAACTCAATTTGCCCCCATCTCCCCCATCTGAATAGAATTATAAAATGTTGTCTGGCTAGGAATAGAGGCAAAAATGAAAGTCTCTACCCTAAGGCCCTTATATGGGAGAGACAATATATACATACACACATATAAATATATATATATGTGTATATACATATAATATAATATATATATAACATATATGTATACAAAAATACACAAACCGTACTCGTGGCAAGTTTTTTTTTTTGATGGAGGTGAGTGGGAGAAGAGCACTAGCAACTGGGAGGGAGTGAGGAAGGCCTTTTATAGAACAGGATTCTTAACTATTTTAGAGTCATGGACCCCTTTGGCAGTCTGGTGAAACCTATGGATACTTTCTCAGAATAATGTTTTTAAATGTATCAAATGAAATACAAAGGATTGCAAAAGAAATCAATTATATTGAAATAGTTATCTAAACATTTTTTTAAAAAATTCATCCCAGAGGGCAGCTAGGTGGTGAAGTGGATAGAACTCTGGCCTTGGAGTTGGGAGGACCTGAGTTCAAATGTGATCTCAGTCTCTTGACACATATTAGCTGTGTGACCGTGGGCAAGTCACTTAACCCCAATGGCCTCACCAAAAAGCAAAAAAAAAAAATTCACCCCAGGTTAAGATTCTCTTGTGTAGAAAATGTTTCTTCAACAGTCTTCAAGGAAACAAAAGATTTTATGAGGAAGAGGTGAGGTGAGGTGGGAGTGCTTTCTAGGGACGGGGGAAAGACAGATAGCTGGGATAGAGGCATGGAAAGGGGAGATGTAGTCCATACATGTAAAGAACAGCAAGGAGGCCAGTCTGAGTAGACCACAGACTTTGGGAAGGGGAATAATATATAATAAGTTTGAAGAGGTATGTTGACAGGTCATGAAGATCTCTGAAAGCTAAGCAGAGGAGCTTGTATTTGATCCTAGAAGCAATGGAGTCATTGGAGTTTATTGAGCAGGATGATTGACATACTTAAGGGCAAGTTAGACTCACCCTTAAGAAAATCATTTTGGTAACTTTGTGGAAGATGGATTGGAAAGGAGAGAGCCTTGAGAGACCAATTAGGAAGTTATGTGTTAGCATGAACACAGCTAAACCACCAGTGCTGCTTTAGACACAGATAGCCTCTCAGGTATTTAGCATATAGAATGTTGTGCTTATGAGCCAGATTTGAGAAATTTTAGAGTATTTCAAATGTTTTTGTTTTCACCTGTATTTCCCGATGTATCCTTCTCATTTCCTCATCCTAGAGAGCTATTGCCTATATGATACAATAAAAAAGAGGAAAAAAAAGTCCAACAAAATCAACATATTGAAAAAAAGCTGACAATATGTGGAGTGTCCTACACTTATAGTCTACCACTATGATAACAAATTTCATCCTTAAAATAGGTATGTTAGTCTTTACTTTCAAATCTGCTTTGGTGTGCAAATGGGACCAGGAATCTGGAATGATAAGACTAATCAGTTTTCCCTTTTTTCCCATGTAGTCGAGCAGAATCACCTAATTTCTTTTTATTTGTTTTTATTCTCACTACTGTGGGGTGTATTGGTAAGGCTATGAAAATAGTATGATTTGGAGCAGTTGAAACTGTAGGCATGGACATAATAACTTGAGCAGGTCCTTTGTCTTGGAGCATTTAGAACTCAGGTTTTTAATGGTGAGTAGGTGGAGAGGTGGATAAAGTGGTAGGCCTGGAGTTAGGAAGACATGAATTCAAATGCAACTTTCGCTTCTTGGTAGCTGTCTGTCTCAGTTTTCTCAGTTGTAATATGAGGATCATAATAGCACCTACCTCCCAGGATTAAAGCATGTAGCATAGTGCCTGGCACATGGTAGGTCCTTAATAAGTGCTTGTTCCCTTCTCTCCCCTTTTCTTTTTCTTATTTGACCCTTTCCCCACATTCTTTTTTCCAAAGCAATAAAGCTAAAGCCAACAACTGTCTGGCATATACCAGGCAATTTAGTGCTTCCAGCACTTGGAAGAAACAAAAAACCAACATGTTTTCTGGAAAAAGGCAAAGCATACTGGAAGGGGAGGGGCAGTAGTATTAAACTTTAACACAAGCAGCAAAAGCAAATAGCCACTTGTGATGAAATGAGGTGAGAGGCTCTTCTGCTCCTGATCTCTCAGTAGCAATGAAATAGTGTTTAAAGAGATCTGTAATGCTGTTTTTATGTTCTGTTGATTGTGTTTATGTATTTTATTTTTTGCAGCACTTATAGCAGTAGAGTTTTCCAGATGACTTTTATGATGCTAGCAGTGTCCCTTACCATTCCCTTGCTTGGGGCCATAACTCTGCTGAATTGCCCCATTGATCCTCAGCCACTCAGGTGAGTTGTATTCATAATTCCCCATGATGATTTTCTAAGGATAATATAATGAAGCCATTATTCCTTTAGAGTGAAAGGGAATGATGAAGCAAATCTATAATTAATGGTAAGTTATTATGAGACAGAACATATTTTTTGGTGTTTAGATGATTTCTTTTTAAATTCCTGAGTGCCAAAAGTGATTTAGGGTACTATATAGAATGTATCAATCTATAATGGCAGAACTTAAATAGCTTAAATTTGAACAACAGACTTTGTTCTTAAGTAGGAATAAAGTTATACACAAAAGAAATTAACTTGTCTTATTTAAAGTCTACTACACATCCATGTAATATTTTTACATGTGATTAGTGTTCTACTTTTTCTTAGTCATTTGGTAAAAATGCTAATACAACCTAGATTTAGCCAATAGACGTATAATGCCAAAAGCAAATAGTTCAACTGTGCTTTACTGTAGTTGAACTATTCCTTTGATAGCCAGGTTATTTCTTGAGTAGTATTTTCAGTTTTGGGTACGACAAACTGAAATGTGTCCAGAATAGAGTGGTGGTGGTGGTGGTGGTGGTGGTGGTGGTGGGGATTATGTTATATGAGAAACGATCAAAGAAACTGGGGATGTTTGACCAGAAAAAGAGAAGATTTGGGAGTATTGGGGGTGGAGGTGGAGCATGGTGGCAGTCATCATATATTTCAAGAGCTGTCATCTGGAAGGAGTAGGTTGATTCTGTGTATGTTATTCCAGAGGTCAGAACTAAGACCAGTAAGTAGAAAAGTCATAGAAAGGCAGATTTCTGTGTAGAGTGTAAGGAAAACTTTCTGATGATTTAGGCTGTCCCAACAATAGAATAGTTTTCTTTTTTAGGTAGTAAGTTCTATTTTATGTTCTATGTTATAGAAGACTATCTCTTCAGTTATAGGGGAAAGTGTTGCATGAGGTGGGAGGATGAATTAGATGAATTTGAAGACCCTTTTCAACTCTTAAGATTCTTTTGCCTCTTTTAGAAAATTTAAAATAATACTCTTAGGCTGGTGGTTTTTCTTCATGTAGATGGCAAAAGTATTTCAGATAAATTAATGGTTGGTATTGCTTATGGTATTTGATAAGGCTACCTCTGACCATAACTTTTCTATAGATAGCTGATTTTTGAAGGGATATCTCTAAGCATATTCCTATGCAGTAGAAATGAATGTGTGTAAAAGAATATATATAACAATTTTCTGTTAATCAGCAAAACACTGTTATTACATATAATCCCTACTTCATATGCTAAATAGATGTGAACTAATAGTAATAAAACAATGAGATGTTTTAGGACAGATTTTAAAATAATTTTTAATTTAACCTTAGAAAAATGTTTGAAATTTTGTTGCAGTTTCTATTTTATATTTTCTCTATGCTATAGGTATATGTAATTAGGGCTAAAGAGTCAACAGAAAAATAAGGATAACAAGGACTTATTAAGGTAAATTTAGGGGAAGAACAAGAGAGAATGAGATTATTAGTTAAAGCAGTTGGTAGAGAGTCAATAAAAATTTGTATTTTCATTTATAGTAATTATAATATATTGGACAGTTCATGTTATATCAACTTTGAAACAGTATTGCCTATGTGCAGCAGTCCTGCTTTTAAGCTTCATTTAAATGGGTATCATTGGAACATTTTCTTTATAGGTGTTCAGAGAAGCTTTTTATGTGTCGCAGAGTAATTAAATTCATTTCAACACACAATAACTGCCTGATATGAGCAAGACAGTGTGGTAGTTAATGGGAGGTGCTATTTTCTACTTTGGCCAAATCATTAAATCTCTGTGAACCTCAACTTTCCTCATCAGTAAATTGAAGAGGTTGGATAAAATAATTTCAAAGGTCTCCTTAGTTAGAAATCTTATTAAAACATTTGGTCCCACCTTCAGAGACCTTACAATCTAGTAGGATGTCTAGTAAGATAGATAATACTTTTACACAAATAAGTGTGATAGACTAAGTACCTTGGAGAGTTATAAACAAAGGAATGTCAGTTATCTGAAGGAGGAAGAGATGACTTCTATATGTGGAAGATCAGCGAAAGCTTCTTAAAAGGGTAGGATTTTAGTTAGGACTTGAGGATGGGTAAAATTTTAGCAGATAGGGTTTATAGCAGATGAAAGAGAGCAATAAATGAGAAAAAAATTTGAACCATGAATAGTTCATATTGGCAGCATTATAAAGTATGTCAAGGAGGGGTTTATGAGATAAAGTTGGGATGGTAGGTTGGAGCTAGGACTCCATAAATTGCTAGACTAAAGAGTATAGACTTTGATAGTCAGTGGAGTTATTGAATGCTTTTGATTAGGATAGTGATGTGGTCAGAGGTCACATTAGAAGCTTTATTCAATCATCAAGTTGTAGAGTAAATAGAGTGGGGAGAAAGTGGAAGCAGGAATATCATTTAGAAGTCTACCAAAACATTCCAGGAAAAAATAATGAAGGCCTGAACAGCAATTGGATTGGAATGATGGAGATGGATATAAGAAATTTTGTGAAGGTGGAATCTATAGGACTTGGCATTTGATTGGATATAAGGAATGAAAGGGAGAAGTAAAAGGTGATTCTAAAATTTCAAACTTGGATGCCTGGGAGGATGGCAGAATCATTAAGAGAAGTAGGGAAGTTGGGGTGGAGGGAGGATAATAAATTTGATTTTAGAAATGTTGAGCTTAAAGTGTTGTCAGGACATCCGGGTGGATATGTTCTACATATAGTTGGAGAGAGCAGACTAGGATTTGGGAGAAAGGTTAGTTCTATAGATAGAGATTTGTGAATTATCTTCTTAGATAATTCTAGCTCAGAGATTAATGGTTAAAACTGTGGGAGTAAGTGCAATCATCAAGTCTGTAGAGATGGAAAAGAAGTTTGGTTGGGGGATGAGAACTTAGAGAATGACTAGTCAGAGACTTTGGAAATAAACTATGAGAGGGCAGTGTCCCTTAAGCCAGGGGAGAGAAAGGTATTGTGGGGTGATATTTATCGGTGTCAGATATTGTGGAATGGTCAAGGAAGATGAGTACTGTTTTTTATTATTATTATTATTATTAGTCATGTTGCTAAAAAAAAGCAAGTAAAGAAAGTGAAAAACTATAAGCTTCAGTCTGCTTTCAGAGTTCATCAGTTTTTTCTCTGGAGGTAGATAGTGTTTTTCATCATGAGTCCTTTGGAAGTTTTGTGGATTATTGTATTGATCAAAGTAGCTAAGTCTTTCATAGTTTATTCTTGTTAAAATATTGTTGTTACTATGTACAGTGTTATCCTGGTTCTGTTCATTTCACTTTGCATGAGTTCATATAAATCTTCCAGGTTTTTCTGAAATTATTCCCTTTATCATTTCTTTTTTATTTTTATTTTTTGCTTTTTAGTGAGGCAATCAGGGTTAAGTGACATGCCCGGGGTCACACAGCTAGTAAGAGTCAAGTGTCTGAGATCACATTTGAACTCAGGTCCTTCTGACTCCAAGGCTGGAGCTCTATCCACTGTACCACCTAGCTACCTCTCCCCCCTTATCATTTCTTATAGCACATTAGTATTCCATTATAATCTTATACCATAATTTATTCATCCATTCCCCAATTGATGGGCATCCCCTCAATTTCCAATTCTTTGCCATCACAAAAAGAGCTGCTATAAATATTTTTGTATCTATGGGTCCGTTTCAATTTTCTTTGATCTCTTTGGGATTCAGGACTTAGTAGCAGTATTGCTTAGTCAAAGGGTAGGCACAATTTTATAGCCCTTTGGGCATAGTCTCAAATTATTCTCCAGAATGGTTTGACCAGTTCACAACTCCACCAACAATGTATCAGTGTACCTATTCTTCTACATCCCCTCCAGTTTTTCTCATTTCCTTTTTTCTGTCATGTCAGCCAATCTGAGAGGTATAATGCGGTACCTCAGATTTGTTTTAATTTACGTTTCTCTAATTAAGAAATGATTTTAAATTATTTTTCATCTTGTATTTCAGTAAATATATTTCAATAAAAACATATGTGTACACATACATATTAAAATGTATCATGATACCCATGATATATAAACAATAAGATAATTGAAAAATGAAACTTTTATCAGAGAAACTTGCTGTAATATTTTTTCTCCAAATTCCTGTTTTCCTTCTAATTTTGGCTCTATTAGTTTTGTTTGTGTGAAAACTTTTTGATGTCATATAATCAAAATAATCTATTTTACTTCTTCTGTTTCCTGTTTGGTCATAAACTCTTTCACTATCCATAGATCTGACAGGTACGTTTTTCCATGCTTCCCTAATTTATTTATGATGTCATTCTTTATTGTCGAAATCATTTATCCATTTTAATCTTATCTTATATATGCTGGTCTCTGCCTAGTTTTTGCCAAACTGCTTTTTATTAAGGAAGGTAGAAGTCTGCTGACTCTGGAGTCAGCAGATGATATCAAATAAGATAGGGACAGGATGGTATAAATAGTTGGCATGGCTTCAAAGGAGACTATTAAATAGTGGTGGCACAACAAAAGACTAGAATTGAAAGTAGAGAGTAAGAAGTGTGCCTTTCTCTCTTGCTTTATAGGTTGGAAGGAATGGGAAAAGTGGCCACCATTGCAAAGTTGAGATGTCATTAGGGAAAGTCTATTTGAGAATATAGAGAAGTATAAGAAGAAGTGATAGGGAATGGAGAGTAGTACAGTAAAGCAGGTGTTCTAGAAGACATGGTGGAAAGAATTAGTAAAAGTTCTCAGGGATAGATTGGGCCTAGAGAGAGAAAATTGAGGTGGCTAGAGTGAATGGGGAGAAGAAGGCAGGGTGGAAGTATTTGTTCCTTTATTTAGGAATTGAGGGTTTGAAGAGACATGTTGAATTAACAGATGATTACTGAACCATTCATAAAATGGTTTTGGTCTGAATGTTAATACTTTATATTTTTGTTTTAAATGATATTTTCATCTATAACTTTGTTTTTTTACTTCCTGAAGCAACTCCTAATGCTTCTGGTTACTTCTGTTAAGTTTATGACAACCAAATGTGTCTAAGGAACACATCCTCTCCATTAATAGAGCTATGATTGGCAATACTAATATGGTAGTTTTTGTATCTCCTACATCAAATAATATAGTCCTATGCCCATAGTACACTCTCAGTAAATATTTTGCTGCTGTATTTATTGTCTACTTGAATAAATTAAATTTCATTTCTTTATAGTTTCAAAGAGCCTCCTTTCCTACTTGGAGTTCTGCGACCAAATGTGAAGTTGCAACAGGCAGAAAAGTTATTTGAAAACCAGCTTATTGGTCCGGAGTCCATAGCAAATATTGGTGGTAAGCATGTCAAACCATTAAGCTCATCCATGACCTTTAAACTGTTCTGATTTTCTTGTTCTGCTGAGAAATATTTTTACTTGTCTTTTATTTCTCGGAAGGAGTGTGTTCTGTGGCAGTTCCAAATGTTGTTGACTTCCCAACTTTCCAAGTAAAAATCTATATTGCTTATTAGCCTTAGAATATTTATACAATTAGTTGGACAACTTGTTTTTAGTTTTAAGCCTAGCCAATTAAAATGAAAAGCCACTTTTTAATAGTAATTAATTTGAAGGTCACTTGCACTGGGTATTGTGATATATTTTTAATGTGTGTGTGTGGGTATGTGTACACATATATTTTTGTTGAAATATATTTATTGAAATACAAAATGGAAAATAACATTAGTGGTCTACTTATGAAAGTTTAATTTATTTGTAAAACTGGAAGGATAACTGTTGTCTAGCTCCAGTTTGCCTTCCTCTTAATTCATTTTGTTACAATGAGGAGACAATTCCCAATTAGTGCATTAACTATCTTTGGTAGGACTTCTTCACTCAATCTGGAAAGATTCACTGGAAAGTAGCCTTGTGTTGGACATGGACAAGTTGCACAAGAGTTTAGCTGAGCAAGATTGGTTTTACCTCAGTGATGATAAACTAGCGGTTGTTGATCGTGATGTAGCTTAGATTCTTTATATCTATTCGGTATAAAAAGTGAGAGTAAGGAATAGGAATAAATAATGGACCAATAAAAAGGACTGTACACCCTACAGCAATATGAAGAGTAGTGAGCAGTTCATTTTGGTAAATTACTTTGCATTGCTTAATGTACAATGTTTATCACTCTAAAAATCTCAGTTTTGTTGTCATTGAAATAGTTACAGACAGGTTTTAATTATTAGGCTGTTTTTGTGCTCTTCCTTTCCTGATTGACCACTTTGGGTAGTTTTCATCCCCAAATTCTTGGCCATATTTTGTTCAGAGCTGTGCGACATTTTAGCTGGAGAAAAACAATTATAGGTGTTGGACATTTTTCTTTGTGGAAGCATAAAACTATTTGTTACTGTGGTATTCTTGTAAAGTATTTTATTAAATAGAACTTTTAATTTTCTTTTAGAAATGACTACATTTAAAATTTAGAAAATTTATTTTGTTTTCATTCTTTGTGTAAAAAGCAAATAAAAAATAAAAACTCAGATGGAAATTGGCCAGCTTTAAATTATTATTATTGCTGTTGTTATCATTAGCTCCTGCTTCAGAAACCTCAGTTCTTATCTTTTCTCTCAGTTCCAAAATATATTTCTCCCTACTATTACCATTATGGTTATTTTCCTAATTATTACCAAGGTACTATTAAAAATAGGCAGTTAAATTAGCTGTGTTTTCTGATATTAGAAATGTAGATGTTTTGGTGATTCACTGATAACCTTCCTAGTCCCTGCCTGGGCAGAGTAGGGAACAAATAGGACCATGGCAGGAAGAAGAACAATATTTAATGACTGATCCTGGAATATTCCATGAGTAGAGGCCACATAAGGTTTCACTACCTTATTTTTTTGGATGGATGGAGATGTTACCATTAATGGAGAGGTTATTCTTAATAAACTGTTTCAGACTTGTGATTTCATTGGTCACTCAGTCTATAAACATTTATTAAATGCTTATTGTGTTCCAGGCTATTCGCAGGGGACACAAAGAAAGGTAAAAAATACAGTTCCAAACAGCATTTTATTTTTGATCTTGGAGATAATAGGGAGCCACTGGACTTTATTAAGTAGGGCAGATGACATGGTCAAACTTGTACTTTAGGAATATCAGTTTAACATTGCAGTAGAGGATAGTATGAAGTGGGGTGAGACTCAAAGCCAGGAGTCCAGTTAGAGACTATTGCAATAGTCCAGGTAAGAGGTGATGGGGGCCTGTTCGAATAGTGGTTGTGTAAGTGGAGAAAAGGGAACATATGAGAGATGTTGTGAAGGTAAAAATGACAAGATCTGACAACAGATTGGATATGTAGGGCAAGCGTATATAAGGATTTGAGGAAAGCATGAAGATTGTGAACCTGGGTGACTTGGGAGGATGGTGGTACCCTTTAGGAAAATTGGAAAGAGAACATTTTTTGGTGAAAGATAATGAATTATGTTTTGGATATGTTGAATTTGAGATGCCTATGGGATATCCAGTCCAGTCTATAGATAAGGTACTCAAATAACCTCTCCTCCCTATCTTTTTCCAGATGTTTTGTTTACTGGCACTGCTGATGGTCGCATTGTAAAACTTGAAAATGGAGAAGTAATCACAATTGCCAGACTTGGTAAAGGCCCTTGCAGTAAGTCAATGAAGAGTTCTCATATATTTCTTGAAATCTGGAGAGACACCGAGTTCTTCCATATAACTACTAGAAGTTAGAAATCAGATAAACTTTCAAGGAGGAATGGTTTACCAATGGAAAGTGCAGTGGTCAGGAAGTTGAGAGACTGTTGGGTTCTACTAACAGCTTACGTGGGACTACCTATATGACCTAATGATGACTGGAATAATTTTAGCCATGCTGCCTAACTTCTCTTTACTTTGGTTTTCCCAAAGTACAGTCCTAAGAAATGAAAATATTTATCCTCTACTGCATTGTTCATTTGCATTCTTCTGTGAACCTCGTTGTCAATCAGTTGGTAGACTTCAGTGTTGCCACCTAAATCCTTTGTCATTTTTTGGGATGACACTATAGCTGTTAATCTGTATAGAGTTGAAAGTCTGTTTGAAATGGGAAATGTCCCAAAATGATTCAGCTTTTGGAAATAGAAGTTGAATACTTAAATACTGGTTGTCATAGGTTTGATAAAATAGCTTTACAAAAAGAAAAAAAATAGATTCATAGACTGACGTTTGAAAGATTAGTTTTGTGTTTTCTGATTAGTAGAAAGAAAGTTCTTTTGATTCAGGTGATGATATGAGTCATTAAGATAAATGGTAGCTTTTGGAGGCTGTTGCTGATTTATTTTATTAACTGAGAAAAGTCTGAAAATCCTAAGGCAAAGATGAAGCTAGATAGTGGTGGTTATTGCTAAGCACATTCTCACCTTTTCAAAAAGTCTATACAGAGATCATGACTGAGCTGGCAAGGCAACATTAAACAGGTGCAACCTTAACTGTATACCATAATTAGTCTTTTATTGGTATTATGTGTAGAAAAAGAGTAGTCATGAAGATACTATGGAAGATAATTAATCTGCTGTGGGTAGAACTCTGGATCGGGAGTTAGTGTTACTTTCCATTTGTCTTCATAGAAACCAGAGAAGATGAGCCTACTTGTGGGAGACCTCTTGGCATACGAGTTGGGCCTAATAGTACACTTTTTGTGGCAGATGCTTACCAGGGAATATTTGAAGTGGATCCTAGTACAGGTATGCTGTGACCCTTTATATTAGAATTATTTTAGAAACTTCAAACTTTGTTTTGAACTAACTTTGTAATCACAACAAATAGTTCTGTAATATTTTCTCATTCACTTGAATATACATAAATCATTAACCTACAAGAATTAATTTTGGTATTTTATTTTTAAAATTATAAACTTAATAATAATCTTAATAGTCAACAACAAAACAAACGTGTAAAAAATGACAAATCCCAAATGCTTAGCCTTTAATAAGGCGGAACCAAATGAATTAACAGAAGAGTAAAGAGCATAATTTTGTTCTATGTCCCTTTAATGGAGTGCCCTGAAGTTGTACCCCTTTTGGCTCTGTTTTCCTTCTTTCCTTTTTAAAAAATATAGTTTAGTTACTGTATATAAGGTTCTGGTTTTGTTGATTTTTTTTCCTCTGCATCTCATGTAGACATTTATTCTTTATGTGCTTCATATTTATTGGTTTTTATCGCTCCATAATTTCCATGATTTTTTCAGCTGTTCTCTAAATATTGGTATATTGGTCATATAGGTTGTTTCCAGTGGTTTTGTAAAAAAATTATTCTAAATAGAGTAGCTGTGAATGTTTTTATACATCTAGGTCCTTTCATGGTGTTTTGGGGATAGAGTTCTAGCAATAAGATCATTGGGTTGAAAGGTATGATCTCTTCTGAGGTCCTAATTGCATATTGCCATGTTGCTTTACACAATGTTTGAAGTAATATATAGTTTTACAAATAGTGTTTCTCCATAGGCTAACCAAAATTGGATTTGAAAAAAATTACCATTCTAGTGAGTTATGGGTTTGTATGTTCAGGTTGTCTTAATTTTCCATTCCTCTGATTATTTTGGGAATTTTGAGCGCTTTTTCACATAGTTATTACCAATTTATATTTCTTTTTTTCATAAGTTGTGTACTCATTCTATTTGACTATTATTAGTAGTATTACTATTAGTAATTAGAAGGGTAATATTATTACTCTTGTCTTTATGTATTAATTTTTTTATACATTCTAGATATCAGATTTTACTGCTATTAGTTTTAACAATCAATTTTTTTCTTTTAATTTTAGAAGGTTTTTTTTAAACTGTGCAAAATCCTTTTTCATTGTATAATCAAGCCCATTAATTTTTTCCAGTAATTTTTTCTTGTTGATTAAAAAGTCCCTCCTCCCTATATTGAGACAATTGCTTCTATTTTTTTCAATTTTAAAAAAAGATTTAAAAATACTTAGATTATGGATCCAGTTAGAGTTTACTAACCCATTTTTTGTCGACTCTTTTTTCTGGAAGTCTTTAATGAATAGTGATTTTATTCCCTAGTGTTTAATCAAGGAATTTATCTAGCAGTAATTGGGTTCAATTAATGGGTTCTCTGTATTCTTTTTCCAGTGCCAGATAATTTTTTAAAAATTGTTTTATATTTTACATTTTAATATCCAGCTTTATTATTTCTCCTTTGTCAATTTTTCTTCCCATAGTTCTCAACATTCTCGTCTGTGTTTTTCAATACTAATTTTATTTTGACTTTGTCTAATTCTGTAGACCAACATGTCACTATTTTGTATATTGTATTTTTGTATTGTATTAAATCTCTAGGTTAGTTTGAGAAGTACTGCCATTTTACTATTTTAGGCAATCTAGTCATAAATTCAGTTCGCCCTTGAATTCTATCAAAATCATCTTATTCAATGGATAGGTTCTTTGTATGTCTTGGTTAGTAAGAGACAACTTGGTGTAGTGGGAAGCTTGCTGCAATTTGGAACTGGAAGAGTGGTCACACCCTAGATTTGTTCCATATTAATTGTCCCAAGATTACGTAATCTTGGGCAAGCTGCTTAAAATTTCTGGGCCTCAGTTTGCTCATCTGTAAAATAAGGGTTTGGACTAGGTGATCTCTAAGGTCCCTTCAAGTTCTAAGTCTGATTCTAAGTTAGTACCCCTAAGATATTGATGAAATTAATTTCTTTTTCAGTTTCTTTTGTTCTTAGTGATGGAATATAGAAATAAATGATTTTTGTGAGCTTATCTAACAAAGTACACACTACGTGCAAGGTTCTTTACTAGATGCTGAAGAAATAAAGGGATAGGGATGAGGACTAGATATATGATTTCATTAGTATAGCCTCCCAGCTGAGGCAAATCCCTCTGCTAGTGTAGGATGGCATTTTCTCTGCAATTTATAGACTTAGAGTGTTGCCTAAAGCACTGAGAAGTTAGGTGCCTTGTCCATGGTCATCAAACCAATGTATTTCAGAGTTAGGACTTGAATGAACCCTGTTCTTCTTGGCTTCAAGGGTGCATCTCTACTGTGCCACATTTTTTCTCAGGGTGTGTATGTGTGTCTGTAGTGGAATGAGAGTGGGAGGGTGACAAAGACTAAAACAGGTTTGCCTTTGAGGAGCTTAAATTATTTATTTTTGTATGCAAGACATTGCACATGGCATCTGTACTACCAACATTAGGGTAGATTCTGTGGTTCTTTTTTTTTTTAAATTTTTTAAATTTTTAGGCAATTGGGGTTAAGTGACTTGCCCAGGGTCACACAACTAATAAGTGTGAAGTGTTTGGTCTGAGGCCGGATTTGAACTCAGGTCCTCCTGACTTCAGGGCCGGTGCTCTATCCACTGTGCCACTCAGCTGCCCCCAGATTCTGTGGTTATTAGTAAAATTTTATCTAACTGGAAGGGCAAGTACCAAAAGAGCCTACATTTGTGAAAACAGCTTGTTGAATAAAGGTTTTTAGCTTCAATAATCTGAAAGTTCACAAGATGGTCCTTATTTCATGAATGTTTTTATTTCTTGGTATCACTTTGTCATTATGTCTCTCTCTGTGACTCTGCAGGTGTGTCTACATCTCTCTCCATATATCTTTGTGTATGTCAGTGTTTATTTTTCCTCCCTTAATTAACTAAAATATAGACCTTAAGCTAAAAAAAAGTGTATTTATCAAAATTTTAGGCTTGCCCTGAATTTTAGAATCAGACATGAAGGCTTTTTAATATTTTCTTTCTCAAATTTAAACTGTTGATTTTTTAAAACTTCTATGATCACTGATATTATATATTTTTTTCATAAATAGAAAAAAGTACCTCACCTTTTTGTGTGTATCTTGGACTCCTTTGGCAATTTGACCCTCATAATAATGCTTTTAAATATATATAAAATAGGGTTACAAAGGAAATAAGTTATATTGAAATAAAGATGTACAGATTCCCTGAAATCTATTTTTACATCCCTTGGGTGTCCATAGATGCAAGATTAAGAACCCTTGCCTTAGAGGAAGTAGGATATGTGCTTTTGGTGAATTTATGGCCTAAGAATATTATTATATTTTGATATACCTAAGGAAGAAAAACTTTTAAAAATCTTTGGAATTTCTAGTCTTCTGATTTACGTGACATAAAATTTTATTCTAGTTTTTCTTTTTGAGGATAATTAGGTTTATGTTTTAAAAATTATCTTTTTTGACATTTAGGTTCTTGGAAAAATCAAGTTTAAAATGAAACCAGTTTTTTTTTTCTATTCAGGTAGAGTGAAACATCTTTTGTCTTCCCAAATACCCATTGAGGGAAAGAAAATGTCATTTGTGAATGATCTGACAATTACTCAGGATGGGAGGAAAATTTATTTTACGGATTCTAGCAGTAAATGGCAAAGACGAGATTATCTGCTCTTGGTTATGGAGGGTACAGATGATGGACGGTAAGTGTTTATTCCTGCATTTCTACTCAATTATAGACGAAGTCAAGGAGGGTAACAAGTGCAATTTATAACTTTTAAAAGAACCTCTGGAGCATTAAAAACATTGATGACATCTATTGTTTCTGCATCACCATCATTTCTAAATGTGTACTTCCCCTACCAGGTAAACTTTCCCTTGTAACAAAGAATAAAAAAGAAAGAAGGAAAAAAAAAAGCAATCCATCAACTGAATCTGATGACAGTTTAAAACACAATGCATCGTACCTGTGGCCCTCACTTCTCAGGAATTTTCTCTTTTCTAGAGCCAAGCTTGGTCATTATAATGATCAATAGCATTCAGTTTCATTAAAAAATAAATCCATTTACACTGTTGAAGTCATTGCATAAGTTGTTTTCCTGATTCTGCTTGTTTCACTTTAATTTATGTGTATTCCCATATGTCCTTTCTTACAGTCCAATAATATTCCAGTATATTCATGTACCATAATTTATTTGGCTGTTCTTTAGTTGATGGGCATCTCCTTGGTTTTCAGTTCTTTTCTACCACACAAAGTGATTCTATGGAGATTTTCCTGTACAAATGAGACTTTCTTTTTGTATTTGACTTCCCTGGGGAAGATGAGTCTGTATTGTTCACCTATTAGTGAGATCTCTGGGTTAAAGGGTATGAACATTTTAATAATTTTATATTATAGGTTTATTTCCATATTACTTTTCAGAAGGTTGGTCCCGTTCATAACTCCTTTGAAACATTTGTGAGGAATGCATTTCAGCTTTTGAGACGGGTCCCTAATAGAAAGTTTTGTTAATAGGTAGTAATTATGGAAAAAAGACAATGAAATAAGAAAGTCTTACCTTTCCTTTGAAGGGATAAAATTAAAATAGGCATTTTTTTTCTGTGATTGATGTTTCTGAATAAAATTTTCACATCGTTGTTGGTGAAACACTATATTAGTTTCCTTTTTGGGGAGCAGATCTCAATGTACACTGTGTTTTATAGTCTTACTTACAATTATTTAATTTGTTCAGTTGGAAGTATTCATTGTCCACTATCTGGAATCCTTAGCCTTGATGAAGGCTTATGTGGTGATAAGTTAAAAACAAATATGTGACCTTTTTGTAGCACTAATATGGGCATAATCATCCAAGACCACCACAAGCATACTGGCTGTCCCTGTCAAGTTTGTCTGTTTTAGCCTGTCTCCTATAAGGTAGACATAGGGAAGGTATGAAATTATTGGGTATGAAGAAAACGGACAGTCATAGTGTTGGGCTATACTGTAATTCTTTGCTTAAAATTTCATATCTGTGTGACAGCTAGTTTAAAAAAAAAGTTTGTTGAAGAGGGAGGGGACACAAAGTCAGACACACAAGATTGTTGCCTTTAATTGTTTAATTAATCCTAGTGCAAAGATACTTCTGTAATGACACTGAATTGGGAACCAGTTCCATTATGACTAATTTTCAGAGCTAGTTAATAGCATGAGATTTGAATTCTCTTGGGAAGTGAGATTATACAAGAATCCTACAGAGCCATTTATATGCTTAAGTTGTAGATTCTTTTATGCATTCCTTTTTTTTTGTTTTTACCTAGTTTTGTTATCTCGGGATGTTATGCAAGATTTACTTCACTAGCAACTTTGATCAGTTGTATATAGATTCCCAAGAAGAAGAGGTCAGGTTTATCAATACTTATTCATGAATATAGCAAAGTTCCTTACATAGGAGAAAAATAGAGTGGAAACATAATCATATGAACACAATACTTCAGTGGATGCATGATTTTCTCAAAGTGGTTATTTTTCCAGCTGTACAGATTACAACCCATCCACATTTCATCCTGTGAAATTATTGTTGGTGTTAATTGATTAATTTGAGCTATCTGTTTCTTATCCCTCATCTTTGTCACATGCCTGGTCTACCTCACTTTCTAATCATTCCACTCCTTGGAAGTCACTGTTGTCCATGTGTTGCAGCCTTCTTATACCCCGCCCTCCCACTCTCCGCCATACATCTTCCCATTGCCTTTTTGGTCCCCTGCAAGTCTGATTTTTAAAGATGTGGTATCCTGTGAATCATTCATAAAGCAAGGCAGACGATCTTAAAAAGGTGGGTTTTTGGGCTTGGGGGCAACTTGGAATCATTAAAGGTGCTGCAAAGTTTCATAAATGTGATCCATATACTTCTCATATTCTTATTCAATTCTGGACTTAGCTTATTGTCCATCTGCAGTGCCAAGATATTTGCAGGGATGGGCCACATCAGTGGGCTGCCTAGCCAGCTGTATCTTGTTGCCTGGGTAATGTGCATTTGTCATTTATTTGGTTTTCCCACCTGGATTGTTAAGTAGATCTCTTTTGAGTTTTAGGGGATTTTTTGTTGAAAAAGCTTTGTGTAGTATTGAGCACTTAATGTAATTAATGCAGCACCGTCTGCAAAAAGCAGAGTTGGGAGAATATCATCATATATAAGTAATTTCCTTAATATTCATATTTTAAATTGGTCATCTTCTGTGAATATGATGAACACTTTTGATGGCTCTATATTGCCCTCCTTTATTCCTTATTTGGTATTTGGAGGATTATTGTACAATTGCATCTGTCAAACGTTGTATCTGTCAAGGAATCTTATGTAATCTAAACATTTGAATGGGAGACATCTTGTTTAAGAAAAGCTTTTAAAACCACATCTTGTTCTGCAAAATCAAACACAGGAACCTTAAAAAAATTTTTTTTAAGTAAAACATGTAATTGGAACTAAAACACTTAAAAAAGGAATAAGAAAAGCAAGTTCTACATGTACATTCCAGTAATTAGGATCTCATTTTGCAACAATGAGTGAGAAAATGAGGGAGAAAATCTTCAATAAGAATCATATCTGATGTGAGAAGGGAATGGCAAAAAATCTCTTTGAGTCAAATTGAAGAGAGCCATATGAGAATAGGCCTATACAGCAATTGGATCTTTACTCATAGGATCCACTTGTTTCATTTCTGCTCTGCAGCCTGTCTCTCTTTGCTTTGTGGAGTCTCAGAAACATGCTGAGATTCATGTGATCCTGAAATGTTCCCATTAGAGACTTCCCTCTATGTATTTTCCCTTACACATTGGGATTATTTTTCATTTAATGTGCAAAAAGACATTTGTAGTGCAAAAAGATTCTAAAAATCCTGTGAATATTCTAAGCAGGCTTTTGATGCAACAAGTGAGATAATGAATAAATACCCTTTTGGTGAGTGAAACCAAGGTTTATTATAGAAATGCAAATCTCATCAGATGATAGTGGCAGTTAACTGCTGAACCGAAGCTACAAATTACAGAAGTCTCAACCACCCCCTGACATAGTAGAACAAAAGTGACTTTCTCATTAACCTTGTAACTGGGCTTCTGTGAAGTTCTAGAGTTAAAGGTTTTTTATATGGCATTGATGCTAATTTGTATTCAGACCAGGTTCAGGAATCTTCTGGAGTAGGGTAGACCCAAAAAGCCTACCTTGATTTTCAGGTGCTCCTTGCGCTCAAGAGCTCCTGAGAATCAGATGATTTGGGTTTATTCCAGGGAAACAACAGAAATTTCAACAACAATCTCTGTCTGTCTCTTTCTATTTTGAGGGTGGAGTTTGGTAGACTACAGTGACAAGATGTAGAATGGATAGTATAAAAAAACCTCTAATGAGGACTGGGAAATACTGACAACATCCTATTTAGATGAGGGGAGAAGATATGTTTCTGATTTACTGAAGAAATTGAACACTCTGAACTATTTTGTGATGGCACTTTTGTAATGATGGTAGAGAAGTTCAACAAGCATTTATTAAGTATCTTCTTAAATTTGTATCTGATTTGATCTGGAAACCTTGGATCTCTCTTGGCTTGGAAAAAAAATCTCCCAAGGTAGCTAGGGAACCTATCGAAGCTCTTCTGGGTTTGGTACTGGGTTTGGTAGCAGTCTCTTAGCTCTAAACTTACATCTTTGATGCTAGTCTGGAAATAAATGAGCCATTTGAATACAGCTCACCTTGAGATGTGAATGAATTTCAATATCAAAGCAACATCCTAAAGTGCCCAGTAGGGGGAGCAGGATACTTAAAAACATCACCAAATACCATTTATCCTTGTTATGTTATTGAATGGAATGTTTATTTATTGCCGATTCATTTATTGCTATTTTTCCAGATTGCTAGAATATGATACTGTAACCAGAGAAGTAAAGGTTTTAATGGAGGGATTAAGGTTCCCTAATGGAGTCCAGCTGTCTCCTGCTGAAGATTTTGTTTTGGTGGCAGAAACTACCATGGCAAGAATAAGAAGGTATGTGATACTTGTGGGATGGGACAACGAGGATTACTTATTATAATTTTTCTTCTGTCAGTATGTTTCTATCAAATACTTACTGATAATATTTTAGTACTAAATAAAAAAAATGAGATCACTTTTTTTTTTACCCATACTATCCAGGGCCACTTTTATTTTCTATTCCCTATTTTTTATATATATGGTAGTTAGATGGCTCAGTGGATAGAGTGCTGGGCCTGAAGTCAGAAAGACCTGAGTTCAAATCCAGCCTTAGAAACTTCGTAGCTGTGTGGCCTTGGACAAGTTACTTAACCCTGTTTGACTCAGTTTCCTCATCTGTAAAGTAAGCTAGAAAAGGAAGTGGCAAACTACTCCATTATCTTTGCCAAGAAAACCCCAAGTGAAGTCACAAGGAGTCAGACATGACTGAAACAACTGAATAACAACAAAAATTTCTTATATATATGTTGAAAATTTGTTCCTGTAAGATCCTACTCAGGTTAATGTTACTTCATTACAGATCTTCTTTCTGGCCTGCCATTTCAGTTCTTTCCCTGATTCCTTCCTTTGTGCTCTTTTACTTTCATGGTTTATGGTAACTACATTTCTTCTAATATGTTGTTATGTATAGTTGGAAAGGTGTTTTTTTTAAATCAAAGAAACATAGATATCTATAGAACTGATTGGGACCTTAGTAGCCATCTAGTCCAACCACCTTATTTTACAGGTGTGAAACTATGGTCCAAGAAGTTAAGTGACTTGTCCAAGGTCATACGAGTAGAAAGCAATGAACCCAGGATTTGAACTCTGGTTCTTTGACTCTGAATCCAGCACTCTTTTCACTGTACCAATGTAGCTTATATCTACAAGGCTTTTAAAAATGCAATTTAAATGTTCTTCCAGTTTTCTATAAGCTTAGATTCCTATCCTGAGAGTCAGGTTGGGATAAAGCTTCTTGATTTCTATCATTGGTTTTTTTCTTTTTTCTTTCAGATTCTACGTGTCTGGGCTTATGAAAGGTGGGGCAGACATGTTTGTGGAGAACATGCCTGGTTTTCCAGATAATATTCGACCAAGCAGCTCTGGAGGATACTGGGTCGCCATGTCAACTGTTCGACATAATTCTGGGTTTTCTATGATGGATTTCTTATCAGAAAAACCATGGATTAAAAGATTAATTTTTAAGGTAACTAAGATCTTTAGTTCTGTGAACAAATGGAAAAATATGCAATCGTGATCTTAAAGGTCCATTTGAGCACTAAAAGTTCTATTTTTTTTATAGTTCTATAATTCTTTGTCAATTTATTAATTTAAGTGAACATGTGAAAGAAATAGGAAAATATGTGTAAGATTGGAATAAATTAAAAAATAATTGGTAAAAAATACAGCAATTTGGTTTCAGAAACGATAAAGTAGCACAGTTTAAAACATGAGATAGCCTTCCTCAGTTTCCTCATTTAAGTTATTTTCAGACTGATGACAAAATTGAAATCCATAGGGGGAAAGCATTGTATAATTATAGAGTGTATTCATATGCTCATGCTCTGGACAGAGATTTTATTTTATGCTTAATTTGGTAAAATTGTTGGCATTATAATAGAAATCTCCAGTTTCTTACTTCTGACATGAGGCAGCCATTCTTGTGATAGTTCTGCTAACTCCATTATTTTTCATTTAGTTTAGGTACCCTTACAATCTAAGAGGTGGATACCTAGAACTTTAGTTTTCAAAACCTAAGACTGGGCCTTCAAACTTGATCTAAAATGCCTTACACATAGTAGGTGCTTAATAAATGTTGATTAGATTGGATTCTTCTGTTCCCCCCATCCTTCCGTTCTTTTACTGCTTAGTGCTGCAAATAGTAGAAGCATTAGCCTCCTCTAACATGTTGACTCTTACTATGGTGGGATTCCTAATCTCCTTTAACAAGTAGCAGCATCATGACCTGTGGAACTATACCCACTCTCTGATGGTTTATTGGTACGTATTGAAGTTAGACTTGGCAAAAGACCCTCCCCCTCATCAGCTGATGAGCATAGTTACCTTACAAGAGCCCTCATGTGGTGCAAAATAGTAGCAGTACCTCATATTTGTATCATACCTTATACTTTGCACAACATTAATGTGCTCATTATTGTACTTGGTTCTTTTTTTTTTTGCTTTGATTCTCCCAACATGTATGTGATATAGATAGGGTATTGACATTTCCATTTTACAAATGAGAAAACTGAAGCGTATGTAAGTTAAGTGATTTGCCTAGAACTGAACACATTAGTTTTAGGGCTGGAAGTGTCCATAGATATTTGAGTCTTAGTCTAGTTCTACTTCTACAATTTCTACCGAGTGGAAAGAAGATCGATTTGGAGCTAGAGAGCTTGGATTTGAATCTCGGCTGCACTATTTATCACCTGTATGACTACCCGCAAATCACTTCATTTCTTGGGGCCTCAGTTCTGTCTTCTATAAGATTATGGGATTGAACTAGATAGAAGTCTAAGACAGCTTGTAGCTCCAGTTCTGTCACCTGTTGTGCCAAGCAGTATCTAGTCTCATGAGATGGTGAATTCCAAGAGTATTTTGTTGCTCAGTTGTGTCCAGCTTTTCATGATCCCATTTGGGGTGTTCTTGGCAAAGATACTGGAGTGGTTTACCATTTCCTTCTCCAGATCATTTTACAGATGAGGAAACTGAGGCAAACAGGGGTAAGTGATTTGCCCAGGGTCACACACGGCCAGATTTGAACTCATAAGGATGAGTTTTCCTGACTCCAGGCCTGGCACTCTATGCACTGTGCCACCCAGCTGCCCTCCAAGAGTACAAGATATGCACAAAATATCTGTATGTGACTCATTCTGTGACACTTCAGTTTTTTATTGAATTCAATTATCAGTCTAAAATTTTTGCAATCTGCCAGATTTTATTAGCTGTGCTAAATTTGAATCACATTTATAATAAGGATATTCTAAAAATTATTTACCATTTGGTTAATTCCAAGAAGACTGCTGCTTTGTTTGTGGGCCCAATATTGGCACTTAAGTTTGATATTTTCTTCAACTAGAGAAACTCAGGATGAAAAACTGTAATAGGAAAAAAAAACATTTAAATTAGGAATCCTGCAGATATGTGTTCTAGTCTTAGCTTTGCCATTGCCTTGTTCTGTGATTTTGAGCAAGTCAAGTATGTAATCTTTGTGTTTCTGTTTCCTTTTCTATAAAATAGGGATGATATCTGTCCTCCCTACCTTCCAAGGTTGTGGTCACAGTTAAGATAATGTGCGAAAGCACTTTGGAAACCTCAAATGCTCTGATTCAGATGTTAAGTACTATTTTAGAATTTAATGTTCTCTTTTCTCTGCACCCTTTGTATATGATAAGGCTTTCATTGTAATTACGTGGTATTATGAAATAATGTGAAATATTGCATTCAGTATGTGCATCTGTGATTCTATAAAGGACAGCTCCTCTTCATTATATTTCCTTGTGCTGGCCTAAATAGTGTATCATTCCCACTCTTAAAATGCATTTAAAATATCTGTTTACTTGGCAAAATAGAGCATAATGGAAAATAACCAGTAATTTTATACATGTATATATGGTAATGTGCACATTAAAATGAAACATATTTTTGCTTATAGCGTTGTACTAAGTAATCACATTTTTGGGGATTATAATTTGTTATAGAGTACTAATTAGAAAAAAAATGATACCCACTGGAAGAATATCTACTTTTTAATTTTAACTTTATTTAAAAAAAAAGACATTTCTGGTTACTTAAGCTTCTGAGAGGCAATTTGCCAACAATTATTTATTGAGAACCTACCCACTATGCTAGGCACTGTATCTTATATGCTCTAGCAGCAGCACCTAGTACAGATAATCAGTAAACTTTGCTTGCAGTCTTCATTTCTACTTTCCCAACAATCAGTCCTGTCAGTTTTTAGAATGCTGGCCTTTTCAGAGTCCTTAAGACTTCTGCTGCTTTAGGAACAGGAGTTGTAGGCCAAAGGGAACCTTTTCTTTTATTTCAAAGTTGCAGGGTACCAATACACTAAAAGTGGCAGTTTCCATTGAAACAATTTATAATGTTTTACTTACTACAGAGGGTGAATTCCTCACGCAACATAATATTATGGTTTTCAGTTATCTCAGCAGTGGTTCTGGAAACTTTGTCAATATGTCAAGGTTCTGTAATTTTGTTAGGGTTGAGTACTCCCTCCACTGAGACAAATTTCTTCCACTATAATTTGGTGATGATATTTGAGATTTGCCATTACCTTATTACAAGCCTGGTGTGGAATCTCTTCCAACTTAATATGCCTTCTGTCTTTAAAGCAGAAATAGATGAAAATGTTTATTTTTATACTTGTTTATATTTTAATATTTGTTATTAATTCAGGTTTAGGATGTTATTATTAAGTTATACTGTTCTTATTCATATGTGTTGCCATAGATCACTGTAAACTAATCCTATCTTATTTGTTTATGGATCCAGCTCATAGAAATTATTGAATTGTTTTTTTATTACATTTTGTCCAGTTTATAATTTTGTATTTTTCATTTTGACTGATCTTAAGATCTGTTACGTCCACCATAATTACAGTTGAGCTGTTAAGAACTGATTGTGTGAAATCAGATAAGCCACACACTCAATCAGAAAATAAGTCTTCTTCCAATATGCTTCCTTTCTAGCTATTAAGTCCAGAAACAGTGTCGAAGTTTGTGCCTCGATACAGCCTCGTCTTGGAACTTGGAGACAATGGAGCCTACCAAAGAAGTTTACATGATCCCAATGGACTGGTTGCTGCCTACATTAGTGAAGTGCATGAACAAGATGGACACCTTTACTTGGGCTCCTTCAAATCTCCTTTTCTTTGCAAACTTAACCTTGATCTCCTTTAACCAATCACAAAGAAATCTAATGCTACTGCTCTAGGAGTGTCCTGCTCAAATATTTTAGTGGTCTAAGTACCTGAGGTGTTCCTTTACCCATAGTCATGGAAATACATCTTCGAATATTCAATGTCATCCCTTTACAGTGTAGCAGGGGGATACCACAGCACTCTGCTCATCTGTTAGCTTTCCATGGTAGGATCTTTTCATCTTGGTTTACTTCTTTTAAAGGTGAGTGCATAAGATGATGGCTTTGGAAGTTCAGGTAACAGAATTCTGTCATCTAAGAATTATCTGCTTTTGTAACAGTTCTCCAGAGAACTTTGAATTCTTTTATATACTTAAACAGTTTAAGGAACTTATTTCTGCTACTAGTTCTGTTCTTCCATCCTTAGCTTTGCTACCTGTGAAATAGGATTAATAACTACATTGTGAAGGGATGCTTTGATATATGCAGAAAAAAGCTATGGGAAGTAGGAGTTACATTATAAAGATTTATGCTTGAACACTGATTGCAACAATCCAAGAGGCACCCCTGCACGATTGAAGTGATTTTTCTGGCTAGGCTTTTAGGCAGTCAAAGCTTTGCCTCTTGAGGGGCACTAAAGGCTTTTAGCATACCTCAGTCCCTTTCAACTATTTAAAGGTTAGGTGCTGCAAGAAAGTTCTCTGGTGAAACTCAGCTTATTTCAATAACACTGAGAGTCAATACTAATGTCTTTCTAAAAACTACCTATTATAGTAGAATGATGTTACCTAATAGATTCAATCCAACAGTGATTTCTTTAGAAGAACATGATTTTTTTGCCTTTCACATTGTTTCCATCTAGAACTGCAGACATGGTTAAAACCACTATGTTCCAATGTCATGTTTGCATTGCTTACCACCTTGACAAATAGTTGTCTCTTACGTTAGTGGCGAACTACAGGAATAAGAACCATGTAATAATGAATATATTAAATTTGCTTTTCTGCTATTTGACTTTTTTGACTGTGTCACCCAGAAAATTATTTTATTATATAGTATAATTATTATAACAGTGTCTGAAAATTAAGTTCTGCATGTTATTATCGGGAGGCCAGTTTTCAGTTAACATGTTTTTATTTAGGAGGGAAATGTTAGATTTAGTATGGAATTAATAGTTACAGTGCTACTTGAAGAGAGTACTGTCTTCTATGGCAAATTGTGGTATCTTTGAGAGGCAGCCCAGTTTAGAAGAATTTACTTGAATTAATTTGCCTTTCCTTGCCATGGACTTAATCCTTTGTGGCCCTATAGCTAACTATGTTGCTTTTCTTTTCTTTTTTTTCCCCAACCCCTTCAATCTATAAATACGTATTAGGGAAATTGCTGAAGTGCTTTGGGGAAAGATACTATCTTAAATAGATAAATCTTAAATAGAATGTGGTGTTCAGGTTTGATAACTTAAATAACTGTGTTTTGAGCTTAGACTATATGTACTAATTGAGTGGATACTACAGAAAAACAACTAAACAACAAACAATTTATGCTAATTGGGCAGCTAGGTGGTGCAGTAGATAAGAGTTCCAGAACTGGAGTCAGGAAGACTCATCTTCCTGCTTTGAAATCTGGCCTTAGACACTTATTAGCTGTGTGACCCTGGGCAAGTCACATAACCCTGCTGTAGAAGGAAATGGTAAACCACTCAAGTATCTTGCTAAAAACCCCAGATGGGGTTATGAAGAGTGAGACACGGCTGAAAATGACTGCACAACGATAAATAAGTACTAATTATAAGTACTAATTATATCATTGCCTGTTTTTTTTTCTTTTTAAACTGGTCTGCTCTTATATCGAATATACCCTTAGGTGACTAGAATGTAGGGTTATAATGTTAACCCATTGTGTTGAATTACTCATGTACTTCTTCTTTATGTAAGGAAAGCTGATGGGAAATTGAGGCAGGTAAAATCCTATCTTTACTCCATGAAGCTCTATAGTGTAGCACATAATTAATATTGACTATTGAACTTTTTTGAGTGTTCAGTGCATAGAGGAATGTTTATTTCACTTATTTAGCATTTCTTCTGTGACGGTTTCTGTATAAAACAATTAACAGTTCTTGTGCATCATGAAATCACAAGCCTTTTAAAAAAAATCATGAAACAACCATTTAATAGTGGTATGTTGAATCACTATCTTATTTATGCTTGAGGGCTGATCTTTTAGTGTAGCAAATTACTTTTACCTTTGTCAGTTACTAGCATCCTAGATAGATGATGAAGAGCTGTGCTTTTCAGGCCTTAATTTTCGAATATTAATAAGCCTATGGATGCTGGTATTCACCATTTTTTGAAAAGGAGTCTCAGTTTTGCAGCAGATATGGCTTTGCAGTCTGGCTTTCATGCTGAAGATGCTGGTTCCTGTGCTTTATTTAGAAATTTGGAATTAGTGGAAAAAGCCAAAAACTTTTTAGTAGGTTTGAATATGACTATTTGTATGTATATATTGTACCAGAAAGATTTGTTTTTCTTGTAACCTTACAATTATTTATGCTCTAATGTAATGCAGTGCTTGAGTCTCTTATGAAGACGAAATTGGGTGTAGTGGCCAGATAATTTTCTATGAGTCAGAGACTTCAGTTTTGAGATAGTACCTGTTTTAGAATAGATGTACCAACCAAGTGCAGAAACAGTTGAGCGAATGCTGCTGGTGAAAAAGTCAGCAATTGATCCTGCTTCCTGAATTAAAGCTATGAGATTTAGTTAAGCTCATTTCAAGCCCTTTACCCCCCATTAACCATCAAACTGAGTAACATCAAAATGTGTACTAGCAGTGTTATAGTTTTATAAGGACTCTAAAAAGTGATCTAGTTTCATGATCTTCAGTAGGATTTTCCCAAGAGTCATATCCAAGTTTATAAATTAGGAGAGTCACAAGTGTTTTTATTATATACACATGAATTTTGTATATGTCTACATGCATTGTAATCTCTTATCAAGCAATTTTCAATTTACCTTGTTTATACCAGGGAAAATTGCTTCTTCTCTTTCTGGCAATTCAGGCCTCCTCCCTGATTTTTTTTTTCTTTTTACAGAGGTAGGGGAATATGAAGGCCATTAGCTTTTTTGCCCCTTCTTAGAAAACAGCTGTCCCTTTAATTTAAACCCTGAAGGTCTTCCCCTCCCATATTGATTTTTTTTTTTGACTAGGTAAAAGAGACTATTCTTATCTTCATTTCTTGCCTAATCTTGACCATGGAATGGGCATTGCCTCAGACAAACTGAGACCTGGGAAAGACCTTAGCTTAAAAAGGCCAAGGTCTCCCACTGCATCCAGGGCCATCTTCAGGCGTCCTGATCTATATCTTGTCACTGGACCCAGATGACTCTGGAGAAGAGAGTGAGGCTGGTGGCTGTGCACAGCCCTCCCTCACTTAAATCCAATTCACTTGCAAGTTCCTGATCACCTTCCTGATGTCATGGTACTCTTTGAGAATGGAGGACAAAAAACGAAAGAAGAGGTAGTGGGGGCATAGTGGATGGAGTGCTAGACTTGGAGTCAAAAAGCCTTGGGTTCAAATCCCAATTCTCACACTTATGAAGTGTGTGACAATGGGCAAGTTACTTAGTCATGCTGAGCCTCAGCTTCCTCATCTGTAAATGAGGATAATACCTATAGAACCTATCTCACAGGGTTGTTGTGAAGAATGAGAATGTATTCAAAGGGTTTCACCAACTTTAAAATGTTCTGTATAATTGTCAATTGTTGTTATTGCATGAAAAATCTCCACAAAGGGCTTCATATCTTGGTAACGCATGCTAGCATTTCACAACTATGGTACTTATAAGTTTTCCCAAACACTTAAATCCCTTCTACTGCAGGTTAAGCATAATGCTTTTTGGCATCTCCATTTTGCAAGAACAGCTGCTTGCCATCATTCACATACAATCTCTTCATACATACTTTAACATTGTGATTAATTCTCTTCCTTCCCTGCCTCCAAATATTTTCTTGTTTCTAGGAGAAATAAACCTTTTTTCCTTTAGCATTTCCCCATAATGTCTCTTTTCTAAACCTTCAATTGCTTTCTGGTTGATCTCCTTTGGATTCCTTTCGGGTTTCCCATATTATCTTTATATTTGTACTTTCATTTTAGAAAGGATTATGTAGGATATGGGCATATATTAGAACAAGTGCCTATTACTTTAGTATGAACTCTTTGTGGAAAAACTGGCATAATGAATTAATTGAAATTGAGCCTTTGCTTTTATTGTAATCATCATGTGTTGAATGATTGAAAAAGACCGTGGGTATCTCTAATTTTAATTAAATGTCAGAATACCATTTCTCTGGTGGAAAGCTGGCAATATCATCTTCCAGCAGTGTACCAAAGGATAGACATTTGGGCTTTGTATTTTATAAACATGCTTGATGAGGACCAGTCAGTGTAGTATTGTCAAAAGAGCAATGGATTAGAGGTCAGGGGGTCTGGGTTCTAGTCTCATCATTGCCACTAACTAGCTGTATAACTTTTTGCAAGTCACTTTTCTTCTCGGAACCTCAGTTCCCTTATATGTAAAAATGAGGAGATTTGATTACGTAAGTCTCTAAAGTCTCTCCCATCTCTAATATTCTATGATTTTGTGAGGCATGGTTAGATAGATGTCGTAATTATATTTCAATTTTTAGGGACATGCTGTCACCACTACCTTATTAGGCATCAACAGAAAGAAGAGCAGATTTGGCTAATATTAAGTTTTAGTTTGATTTGGGACCAAATGGGGGAGCACATTTCCAAACCTTGGATTGACATCAGACAATTTTAGGGATCTTGAAATTGAGAATGATGCAGTGTTCTCCTTAGTCTAGTTTCCCCCATCCTGGACTGGGCTAGAACCAGATTAGCTTCTGAGAGTAGGGAAAAAGAACAGTCACTTTCTGGGGGTTTTCTTCTCTGTGCCTGCTATAAATTTTTATCTGTATATTTTATTCTCGTTACTAATTTTTTTTAAACAGCCATTTTGGATGAGGCAAACCAAGTGAATAAACTGGTCCTTGGCTTTCTACACAATTCTTCACAGTTAAGCTAAGCTAATCTTAGCTGTTCCCTCAGGGTAGAGGAAGCCAGTCCTTAAGTATCTGTGTCCTAAATGATCAATCAATTTTGATTGGAGTGTTTCAACTCTGTGTTGTGATGGTTATACCACCCAATTGTTGTGCCCTCTAGAAGTTATTTGAAATGTTATACACTCCTGTTGATAGTAAGATAATTTAAAATATTAAGACTGGGTAGCTTCTGGTAGTGTTCTAGTATTATACCATCTCCTAAAATCCTGTCATCCAATAAAGTCAAAGGGCATTGGAATAATCACTTAGACATGATCTCTTGTCTTATTTTATTATGGCATTTTTATATTTTCCAAGTGTTAGCTGTATTTTGCCATGTAGATAGAGAATTAAAATTAATATTTATTTATCATTTGTGGCCACCTCAATATTGTAATAGGGGCTACTAGGAGTTTTATGGAACATAGGGAAGAACAATTTTGTCCTCTTGAGAGCAGCTTGTGACATACTAACACCAAAGACATATAACTTTTATAAGTGTGTGTGTGTGTGTGTGTGTGTGTGTGTGTTTGTATGTGTGTACATACGCGGATATTGGGGACATGTGTTGATCACTTGGACTTTAATAAAATGTTGGTTTAATGGGGACATTGGGAGTGGAGGAGAGAATTGTAGGGGGTTGCATAAGATGTTTTGCTTTGATATTAGTCACTTTGAGGTCTTTAATGAAAGACAATATTCCAGGTTAATTGTTCTGGTAGTTAGATTCTAGGAACTTCAGTGGATTAGATAGGCTCTTATGTATTAAAATAACTGTATAACAGTAGCTAGTAAATGAGTGGAAATAAAATGAGTATAAAGTTTGGTTTGGCAAATTATGATTTTCTGGTAATGGCTGGTTCACTTTATTTGCTGCTATTTACAATAATCGACGCCATCTGCTTATAGGTGTTTTGTTTCCTACACTATTACTCTGTTGCAAATCTCCCGTTTGGGGATAAGGCTGCTTCAGACTTTTACTAGCTATATGACTCTAGGCAAGTTACTTACTTGATCGTTTGCTTTCTTGGCCTAATTTTGCTCATCTCTGAAATGAAGACATTGAATTAGATGATCTCCAAGGTCTCTTCCAGTTTTTAAGTGTACATATTGATTTCATCAACATATAAAAGAAACTTGTGATTGTAAGTAAATGATTTATACCCTATAAATAAATGTTGCTTCTAGGGGACTTAGAAACAATTTTAAAAAGCATTTGGTTAAGGGCACGTGGTCACATCCTGTCCAACTTAAAATATAGCCATGTTTCTACATGGAAGAAAGAAATGGAAATTTATCAATTATAGTTAGTCAAAATCAGTGTTGATACTAACTCCATAGCTAAATTATATCATAGACTAGGAGCTGAAAAGTAGACATTAGAAGCAATCTTGTGTAATCCCCTAATTTTATAGATGATGTGAACTGAGGTCTTCTTGGCTCCTAACCCATCCCTTAATCCTCTATTCAGTGTTGCCTCATCCAGTTTTGTTGGCCTCATTGCAGAAATCAGCTGAATGATTGTCATATTGCTGCTAAGCTCTCATGGGGGCTTATATAAAGAATAAGGGGTGTGTGTGTGTGCGTGTGTGTGTGTACACACACACGCACACACACACATATACATGTATATGCACATACATATATACATATCTATGTATGCATATACATACATATATACATATTATGTATGCATATACATACATATATACATATGTATGTATGCATATACATACATATGTATATATTTTAAAAATGAAAAGCAGCAAGAGTTTTATCTTGACTTTGTAGCTATAACTTGTCTTGGTGGATGGTCTGAAAAAGAACCTTAGGGAAGTCAGGAGGAGCTCAAACTAACTCTAGGGTGGGGAACCTTAAGCCTGGAGGTCACATGTGGCCCTCTAGGTCCTCAGGTGTAGCCCTTTGACTGAATCTAATCTTCACAGAATAAATCACCTTAATAAAAGGATTTGTTCTGTAAAACTTGGACTCTATCAAAAGGCTACACCTGAGGACCTAGAAGGCCACATGTGGCCTTGAGGCCGCAGGTTCCCCACCCCTGAACTATACCATCATATCCAACCTCAGTTTTATGTCAGAGCAAAGAAGGTAAGGAACGCAGTACTTTGTGAAATTCTGTGTGCTTTCTTCTACCTGGAATTTCTTGTGCTCTTACTATCAACTTAAGGTTCACTCCTTTAAAGCTAGACCTTTTGGGTCACATTTTTTTTTCCATTTTTCTTTGAGAACCTTCAGCGTATATGTTGTCTTGGCGTTCAGATATTAATAAACATTTTATCTCCCCCTTTGAATCAAAACTCCTTGAGGAAACAAACCATGTTATGAATGCTATCTCACAAGTTTATTGTACTAGCCCATGTAAGACAAGTCATTTTAAAGTCAGTGCTTATTTTATTCTCATAAAATTATCAAGCAGCAGATAGTTTTTTTTCTCTAATCATTTTAATCTGATGCTAAGTCCTTTGGCTTTTACCTACAAGTCTGTTGAAACTTTTGAATGAATCAGAGTTGTAGCATACTTGTTAAAGCACATATATGCCATTCTGGTATGAGAAGACTTCCGTTTAGTATTCTTACTGTCTCATGCTGAGGCAGTGCCCTGAAGTACACTGTAGTAGTACAATTTATTTTTTATTTCTATTTTAGCTATTACTAGGACATAAGCTTTGGTGCCTATCAATTCTAATGGGCTCTTTTTTTGTTGTTTTTGGAAATAGTATTTTATTTTTTCAAATTATGTATAAAGTTAGTTATCAACATTCATTTTTATAAGATTTTGAGTTCCATATTTTCCTCCCTCCTTCCCTCCCCAAGACAGCAAGCAATCTGATATGGGTTATACATGTGCAATCATGTTAAACATATTTTCACATTAGTCATGTGAAAAAAAGAATCAGAACAAAATGGAAAAACCACCAGAAAGTAAAAACAAAAAAACCAAAAAAAGTGAAAACTATGTTTCAATCTGCATTCAGACTCCAGAGTTTTTTCTCTAGATGTGGATGGCATTTTCCATCATGAGCCTTTTGGAACTGTCTTGGATCATTGTATGGCTGAGAAGAGCTAAGTTGATCATCACAGTGTTGCTCTTAGTGTGTACGGTGTTCTCTTGGTTCTGCTCACTTCACTCAGCATCAGTTCATTAAAGTTCTAGTAGGCTTTAAGGCACAAATACATTCAAAGAATACAAACTGTCTGTGATAGGCAGAAAGTGAAGGTTGAGCTGAAAACCAAAACGCCATCTACCCTTTGGTTGAGGAGAAGCAAGAAATCACTGACAATGGAGAACAAGTATCTCAGTCTTTTGGAGCCAGGAAATGACCCAGACTTCAGTATAGCAAGTGAATGTCTGTAAGCAGATAGAAAATGTGTGAGGCATATGGTATTTCTAAGCCCAACAGCATATATTTTAATTAGCACACAAATACCTCAGGCACAGCCCCATACCAAATCACTTGAAGTGATTTCTAGTTGTTCTTTTCCCAGCTCAATTTTTTATGTAGAAGGGAGAAGATATTTATTAGATTGAAAGGAAATAAGTAGCAGTGCTTGCAATTCACCAAAAACAATGGAGAGTTTCCTTTTAATTTTAAGTGCCTTCCCACATTAAGGGTGGTTGCTGAAACCATGTCAAGTCAAAGACAATGTGACATGGTAATTTTATGATACACCCTGAAAATGATCAAGGAGTATACTGCATGCAAGGGACTCTGTGAAGAGGAAAAGTTAGAAAGTTAGGAAGATCAAGTGCCCTACCTGCTTTAAAGTTCTATCTGTTTGAAAGTCACAGCTGTCCAAGTTGTAATGTTCATTCTTCTTGCAAATTGTTCGGCTTATATGCATATCAATCATATATTTCAATCCTTTCACGAGCTAAATTGAATAAGAATAGGTTCTTGGATTATTTGTGGTAAAACGGATTTAGGATTATCCTTTAGGTGTTACTTAGAATCACTGATGAGAGGTTAGATGCCCTGTCCAAGGTTTGCATTGTGAAGGGAGTTAGGGGCTTGAGCAGCTAAATGACATTCAGAGGGAACACCTTGAGGAAGGCAACTGTGTATGCACTGGGCTCTGACCTTTGTGTTACACCGTGGTATTTTAGCCACGCAATCAATGGCTGTGAATTCACATGCAGTTACCCAGACCATCAGGTAAATCCAGTTGAGAGGCAGTGTGGTACAGTGGAAAACTGTGGAGAGTTTGGAATCAGAGGCCCTGAGTTCAACTCCTGCCTCTGACACATTCTGGCTATGTGACTGGGAAAGTCACTTAATAATTTAGTGCCCCAGGCAATTCTCTGAAACCATCACTTTCAGAACTGGTCTGCTTTGATAGAGGGAGTTTCCTCATCTGGAGTTCCTTATACCAATGAAATCAGAGGTTTAACCCCATCTCATGATAGATGAAAAGTATCATAGCTTGCCAATTCTCCAGCCTTTAACCATTCTTGCCTAGGTTCTGTGGATACTTTCTATTTTAGATACCCTACCCCTCATAACTCTATCAAGCAAGCACTTACTAAGTGCCTATGTCAGACAAAACAAACTGTTCTTAAGGATCTAACACTTGAATGGGGAGAGAAGCGCTGCAGACACTTTTTAGTTGTGTGACCCTGGACCAGTCACTTAACTTGCTTGCCTCAGTTTCCTCATCTGTAAAATGAACTGGAGAAGGAAATGGCAAACTACTGTCTTTGCCAAGAAAACTCCAAATGTAGTCATGAAGAGTTGGACATGACTGATGTGACTGAAGAATAACATACACAGAACAGGTACAAAGTGACATTGGGTGGGGAAGGTACTAATAGATGGGGAAATCAGGAATGACCTCATATAGAAGGAGGCACTTGATCTGAATCTTGAAGAAAAAAAAAGTATTCCAAGAAGTGGAGGTAAGGAGGGAGTATATTACATGGGTGTGGGGAATAGAATTAGGACATGGGAGTTCTATATCTGGAGCAGCAAAAAGGCCACTTTGGCTAAACTGCAGCATGAGTGGAAGGGAGTAATATGTAATACAGTTAAAAAGGCAGATTGGAGATGGGTTGCAAAGAGTTTTAAATGCCAAACAAAGGAGTTTATATTTAATTCTATGGATTTGGGATACCAATAAATTTATCAAGTAAAGGGGTGACATGGTTAGACTTTTGCCTTAGAAAAATCACTTTGACAACCAAGTGGAGGATGGATTGGAATAGGGAGATGAGGCAGGGCCACCATTAGTCAACTATTTTTCCTGAAATAATGTTGTAGCTGGGTGAAGAGAGAGAAAGGGACAAATGCAAGGAATTTAGAGGTAAAAATGATGAGTGAGCAACTGTTTGGATATATGAGTGCTGAAGGGTGTTACAGCTGCAAACCTTGGGTGTGGTACCCTTGATAAAATTAGGAAAATTTAGAAAAGATGTGGGTTTGGAGGGAGTAAATATAAGGAAGTCTGTTTTAGACATGTTGAGTTTCTACTTTAAACAGTCTTTCATCTCTGTGTAATCCTCATTCCAACTAAACTTATACTGTTTAGTTGCTGTTTTTCTGCCACAGAACTATGCCTTCAGTATTTCCCCTTACTTTTCTACTGTGGTGAAACAGTCAACTTTTGTGATGTAGGCTTCACTTGGGAGTTCACTATAACTGGTCATTTAATCCTCAGGGTATAGAAAACATATAATTGTCCAAGAATCAGACCGGTTTGTTGGATACCCAAAGCAGCCACTGCCCTGGAATACCTTATTTGTGTTTTTTCACTTTTAATCTTTATATCAATCATAGCTGGTCTTTTAATTCTCCTAAATATATGTGGAGATGGTAGCCCATGGCATTAATATACATGCGGGAAAAGTGGTGGTGATCCTCACCTCTACTTTTGAATTTCCCTTATAAAACATGAGACATTTTTGCAGAAGATTCAGATAGTACTTAAAGTGAAGAATTTTTGAGGGATTAAATAACTTCGGGGAGCCATCTCAATAGATCTTGCCTAGCTACAGCCAAATGCCTTTAAGAAGAGATAAAAGAAATTAGTTTAGCCTGGGTTATGTTGCCTTCCCTTAATTCTTCTGACTTTTCACTCCTTCTCTAAATGATGTTAAATTCTAAAAGAAGTTTGTACATTTGCCATGATTTGAAAAGAAAAAAGATTTTGGAGGTTTGAGGGTGGAGCAAGATAATTTGCAATTCTGTAAACCTTGTTCCAGGGTGAGTGGGTGGGTGGGGAATAATACTAGACATCCACTGAAAAAGGTAGTGGGATGGCATTTATGTTTTCTTAATCTGAGAATTAAGGACCTGGAATACTATGTTTGAAATAATTCCTTCCAAAACAAAGAAACACAAGGTTATAAATATATATATATGTGTGTATACACACACACACACACACACACACACACACACACACACACACACACACACACACACACATATATACACACACATATATACACTATCCTAAAAAACCAACCAAAATTCCATGAATGTAGTGCCAGAAATAATAGAAGACAATTTATTTGGCATCTTTTGGAAAGGAGGTGTTCCATAAAGATGGATTTTCTAGATAACTGATTTGAACCATTTTGGATGAGAATCTAAGAATTCTGTTACTTCCCTCCCTTCTTGTAGTATGCTGGACATAATTTAACTTTTTCCCAATTTAGAGCCATTATGAACATCTACACTTGTATAAAATTGTTAAAAAAAAAAAGGGATGTACCTATATAGATACTGAGGTAAGCTGTTTTCTCCCATATGAAGTAGCTCCAGATTACCCAGGTTCTTAAACCCTTTTGTCTGTTGGTTTTTTTTTTATATAGCTTTTCTTTCTTAATGCCAGCCATACTTTGGAGCCAGTTTAATAGCATTTAGCTAAATCATTATTCCTTCTTAGATCTCCTGTTTTGCTGCTTCTAATTTGCCATGGTTTGGGACATCCTGTATATGATCACAAATGATAGTACATAGTAAGTTTTGGGATGTGCTATAAGTTTTCTTTTAGCCACATCTTCCTGGGAGGTAGCTCCTATAGCTTTTATCCCTGTTTTACAGATGATGGAACTTGCACATAACCACATGGCAAATAAGTATCAAAAGGCCAAATGTTATCCTGGGTTCTTGACTTCATGAGCACATTCTTTCCTAGGATACAACATTCCCTCCAACCAAGTTTGTTGGAAGTGTATCTAAAGTAGAATCATAGATTAAAAGCTGGAAAGGACTTTGAGGGTCATCTAGCTTGACTCCCTCATTTTATAGGAGAGGAAAGCTAACTGAGGCCCAGGAAAGCTAATTGATTTGCCTACAGTCACACAGATAGTAATTAGCAGATTTGGGACTTGAACCTAGGTCCATCTGATTTTAATTCTAGTATTCTCTCTACTACGAATAAATAGGCTGTTAGTGAGGGTCAGTGCTCCAGTTTCATTGTTTTTTAACTGTTTCCAATTCTTTGTGACCCCATTTGGGGTTTTTGTGGCAAAGATACTAGAGTGGTTTGCCATTTCCTACAGATGAGGAAATTGAGGCAAACAGAGTTAAGTGACTCGTCCAGGGTCACACAGCTAGTAAGTGTCTGAGGCAAGATTTGAATTCAGGTTCTTGGGACTTTAAGCTCAGTGATTTATCCACTGCACCACCTAGCTGCCCCAAGGATCATTGGGTTCTCTTAATAAAAACTAACAGTTTTAGAAAATGACATTCTATACATTTTGGCTTCTTAGGGGCTTTTTTGGAGGGAGAGGATCAGATTGTTGGCCAAATTCTGGCTATTTGCAGTTTCTGGGTAAACAAAGCTAAAAATCCTGAATTTTCTTTTTCCTTAGGTTTTTCCTAAGGGATTGAGGAGGAGAATCCAGGACAGATCTTCAGTCAAAGCACTCACCTGCACCATTGCTTTATCTATGTGAAGTTCTTTGAATAAGAAGAGGTCATTTGTGCAGTTGTTAAACCTTTCAACTGCAAACCTGGCTGCTTTTTGAACGCCAGGGTCACTGGGTTTTATAAATTTGGGAAATCCAGGTTTCTCTCCAGCATCAAGGCCTAAAAGAGAAAAAAACACGTAGCCAGCCAACCACATTATTTGTAATGGAAAGGACCCCTCTGTCTATAACTGATATCACAACGTGATTTTCTCTCTCTTGTCCCCGAACTCCACCTCTTTCCTCCCACAACTATGCAATAGCAGGTGAGTCAGTCCTAAGGGAGATCTCCAACAACTGGTAGTTGGGATGAATTGAATTTTCACCACACATGGCAACATAGGGCCTTAGAGAAAAAAAAGGCAACTAAACCTGTTAATCATTTCCTGACCACTTGAAGAACCTCAGACAAACTTGTCTGTTTTAATTATTGTCTCAAGAATTACAAATTTGTATACACACACACACACACACACACACACACACCCTTTCTTTCCCCAGTCACCTACTGTAGTTTTGACACTACTTTTCCTTGCTAAGCACCTGCTAGTTATAGGAATAACCTCTGCTCTATTCAAAAGCTTATCTAAAACCTGTAAATAGAGACGAAATACATAGGCTTCCCTTGGGATAAGGGAAGGCCTTAGCTACTGACTCCTTGGGTTCAACTCCAGGGGGAGTCGGTAGTTTCTTTCCATTCCCACAACCACTTTCCTTGTTCAAATCATTAATAATTTTTACCTGAACTATTGCAGTAATTACATAATTGACCTCTTGGCTTCCAGCATTTCTCCTTTCTAATCCATCCTGTATGCTTTGGAACAGCCAGGTATAGGGGTAGGCAAGGTAGGCATTCATCACCTAAGACATAAAAAAAACCACTTTAATATTGGTTTGCATGTAAGAGGGGTAAAAAGGTTTTCCCCTTCACTCCATCTCCTCTGAATGCACCCCTATGGAGTGCTAAGCATCTGTCCTGGAACACTGTGTTCAGCTCTGAAGGAGTTGGAACTTTGGGATGATGAAGAATGCTCTAGATGGTCTCTTGGCTTCCCCTATCCCCACCTGCACAGCAGGGGTAGTAGATAGTAGGGTACTAGATCAATTTTAAAGGAGAGTTAGCCTCTTCTCTCTCCTTCCTCCTTCCCTTCTCTACCTCCACCTCCCACCCTTCACCAGAAATGGCCTCTGCCAAAATGTGGCTGCTAGAGCAGAGGGACTTGGTTAGGTGAGCTTGAGCTTCTATCTGCCTTTTCTGCCCTGTGTTTCTTTCTCTGAGCATAGGTGTCTGAACAGTGATCCTGAGAGATGGTGTTTCTAGGAGTGGCAGTTTGAGAGTTCAGTAGTCTAGGCCAGCAGCAGTTTTGTGGAGGAGATCCCTGTGTCAACAGCAGAGGGTAGTAGAGTTGGAAGGGCATTTTTCTCTTCCCCCACTCTCTCCTCCCCTACTCATCCCACAATTGGCCATGACAGTTTGAAGTGGAGACATCTGACTAATGGGGGACACCACATTCAGCACAGAACAGAAACACACCCTTTAGACAGACATGGACTCAGGGATAGTGTTCAAGCAGCAAAGAAAGGAAGAGATAATTAACTCAGGAGAACTCTCTTTGGTAATTGAGAGTCAAATTGTGAAGAGGACCAGCCCTTGGGAGCCTAACTAAGCAGAGATGCTGTTCCTGGAAAGTGGGGTGGGGGAGAAGCTTCATGAGGACTTTATGAGGAGAGAAAGGACTGTAGGGCCTTCTTTTTGTTGCTGTTTTTCGCTTAGATTGTAGTTACTATGTATATTTTCCTGGTTCTTACTTCATCCTTCATTAGTTTATGGATGTCTTATGTAAGTTCTTCATATCATTTCTTATAGCACAATAATATTTCAATATGTTTATGTGCCACAATTTATTTGGGGAGTGGCTAATCAATGGGCATCTACTTTCCAATCCCCAAAAAATGCTGCTATGAAAAAAATGTGGCTTATGTAGGACCTTTTCTTTTTTTCTTTTTTATCTCCTTGGAATATGTTCTTAGTGGTAAGGTTTCTGGGTTGAAGAATTTGGACATCTTAGTAACTTTTTACCTGTTTTGAAGAACTGAAATTGTGAACATACTTTCACTGTTTGGCAGGGAAGGGAAAATGGGAATAAACATTTATATAGTGCCTACTCTGTGTAGGTACTTTAAGGGCTTTTTCCCCCTTTTTTTTAATGACAAATATTATCTTATTTGATCCTCATAGCAACCTGGCGAGGTAAGTGCTATTATTATCCCCATTTTACAGTTGAGGAAACTGAGGCAAACAGAAGTTAAGTGACTTACCCAGAGTTCCACAGCTATTAGGTGTCTGAAGCCAGATTATCAGGTGGAAGACCAGGGAAATGCACTTTTTAAACTTAGTCTAGGATGTATTAATGACTTCTAGATCTGCTCCTCTACCAGATTAATATTACCAGTAATTAGTATTGCAAAGGCACTGTACTAATTGTGTAGCTTTTGTTAAAACCAGCTAAATATGGTTCATATTTAAGGTATTCCACAATCTGACTCTAACCCATATTTCCAAGTCTTGTTTCCTACTACTTTCCCACAAAAAGCTGAAGGTTTCGTTCAATGTAGATTGATACTCACATCCCAAATGCAGTAAGCCATCTTTGCTTTACCTGTTATTTTCTTTGTCTAGGATGGCCTTTCTTCCTTCCTCAACAATACTCTCCTCCCCAAACACCCAACAACTTCGCTAGCACTAACTGCCTCTTGAAATAACCCTCCTTCAAGATCCAGTTGAAACGCAACCAATTTCTTTTCCAATCAAAAATAATTCCTTTCTTCTCTAGCACTTAGTTTGTACCACTTATGTGGCACATGTTACCTCCCCTATATGACCAAGCTTCTTAACATTATTCATTAGACTTCTACAAATTTATAGCCCACCCTGGGTCTACCATGTTGTTTTGCAAAAAAGTAGGTGTCTGCACTACAAAGGGAAAGCAGTGTGTCTATCCTATGTGCTCATAGATTTCTTCACTTTCCCCTAATTCTTCAGATGGGGATAAACATGAAAGAATAGTGATAAGAGTTGTATAGGGTGGAGAGGCATGAATGTGCTGATAGACATCCCTGGACAGAGTATGCCCAATTAAGATGCTCAGTAAATATTTGTTGAATGAGTCAACTCCTTTGGCTCTTTTTTTCCTCTTCTAGGTAAGGTTTGATTTGTTTTTGGGGGTGGGAGGAAAAGGAGGCAAAGAGATACAGAATAAGGAAGAGGGAGCAAGAAGGGTGAGAATCGTTTTAAGAGTTAGATGGCCAATGATCTTTTTCCTCATCAGGGCCATGTTTGAAGGAACAATGGAAGCAGATTGCATCTGCAGCTGAATTTAGAGAACTCACTTTTGGCTGTTATTTACCCACATTTCTTTTACAGTCATAAATTCAGGTTATATCAAAGGTGGGGTCTCCAGAAGCACCACCATTGTGGAAGAGGCTCTTAGCCTCTAGAGTTTCAGCAAATTGATCAAAAAGCATGCGTCCTTTTAGGAGGACAACAAAAACACTTGAGTACATACACAATTAATACAAGGAGATCAGGAAAGTCTACCTATTGTATATATATGTATGTATACGTATGTTGCTTAATCAGAGTTTTGAAGGAAACAAGGAATTCTGAGAGTTGGAGGTATGAAGTGCATTTTGGGAATGGGGGACAGAAAGTATAAAAGTGAGGAGATAGGAGATGGAGGGTTGCTTGTGAGGAACAGTGAGGAGGCCAGTTTGATTGGACCTTAGAGTATTAGAAGTGCAGTAATGTATTAGAAGCTTAGAAATGTAGGTTATGAGAGACTTTAAGATAGAAACTTCATTTTCCTATTGATTCTCTGGGTAAGAAAGCAGTAGGTACCATCTCATGGTCTCTCATCCTGGTAATAGTCTACTCAGGGAGACAGTGTTTTGTTATGGAAAGAACACTGGACCAACGGTTGAAACTGGGTTTCGCTATCAGCTCTGACACTAGCTGTGTGATTATGAACAAGTTACTTAAATTCTCTGGGTCTCAGTTTTTTCATTTAAGGAAGATAAAGGCATTGGACTCTAAGGAAATCTCTAAGTGCTCCTATACTTCCAGATCTTATGACCTGATATCTCATTGTAACATGGAGGTGACCCTGAGTTCTTGAAAGCTATACCACTGGAATGTAAGTTCGACAGGTCCTAACAAACTGGGAAGGACCTTGTAATAGAGGGTATATCTATTGTTCAAGAACTAGTCTAGACAAGTTAGAGAAGATCGTCATCAGTTTGGTTCAAGAATGACATTTTTTGGGGGCCATGGGTATGATTGAAGACTATTTGGTATCTGGGTGGCACATTGGATAGAGTGTTGGAGTCAGGATGACCTGAGTTCAAATCTTGCCTCAGAACTTACTAGCTGTGTGACCCTGGGCAAATCTCTTTGTCTCTATCTGCTTCAGTTTCCTAATTTATAAAGTAGAGATAATACAGTTATCTCTTTCATATTGTGGGGGTTAGGGGCATGGTGCCCCTGCAGTCTGGAAAATCCATGTAAATTTTTCTGGCCCTCCATACCAGAGAAGAAGTCTGAATTATTATGGTATTAAAAGATAAAATATGTTGATATTATACAATACTATATATATATATATATATATATATTTTTTTTTTTTATGCATTTCTGTGTCACCTGCTGGTCTTCATCTGTCATCCATAGCTTCAGCAAAACTCCCCAAAATTCTATGTGTCATCTACAGCTTCAGCAAAACTCCCGCAAAATTCCCATTTAATTTCTTATGCCGACCTGCAATGTATTGAAAATGCAATGGGGAAAGTCATGATGTGGATATCTGTAATAGCAGCTACCTTACAGGGTTGTGGTGAGGATCAAATGAGATAATATATGTAAAGCACTTTGCTACATAATGCTAGTTTTAATATATTGTTATAATAACAATAAGTTGTTATTATTATTAACAACAACAATAATAACCAAAGGAATAAAGAGGCAGGGATTTGCGTGAAAGGAGAGAATAATGACACTCAAACATTTCATCAGAAAGGATAATGAGATCAGAAAATTTGGGCTCCTCACCATTCTAGGCAGGTTGGAATAAACAGGAGAGACACAAAGAAACTGGCTTCAGAAAGGATAGAGAGCTTTGGGAGCAGGGAAGCTGGGTGGTCAGAAAATAAGGAATAGGGTTACAGAATTTAAAGTTGGAAAGAGACAGGGTTCAACCTAATGCTCTCATTTTGTAAATGAGGAAACTGAAGCCCATAATCATATACAGACAGTGACAAAATGTTCAGTCTCAGGTTATCTGACTCATGTATTGGGTATATTATTGGGGGATTCTTTTGGTGTGGGGGTTGGACTAAAAGAGCTGCTGAAGTCCTTTCCTACTCTCAAATTGCGTGATTCAATCACTCTAAAGCCAATGTTCATATCATTACAGAGAGAAATTCATTTAGAGACCCTGTTTTGCCTTTGAGAAATAAAAGGCACTTTAATATATGAAGTATTGGACAAAGGGACCTGGATGCTGTTCACCTGCTTATTGCTTTAGAGTCTAGAAACTAATTCAGAAGAGTTCAGAGTTAAGTCAGTAAGTAAGTCATGCCACAATCAAAATGCTTTGTTTTGCCAGGAAGACAACTCCAGGGAGGCAGTGTGGCCTAGTGGAAATAGCACTATATGTAGTCAAAAGACCTGACTTCAAATTCCAACTATACTGCTTTTTATCTAGAAGACCTTGGCAAGACACAGAACCTTTTCAGTTTCCTTCTTTGTAAAAAGAGGGGGTTGGATTTGACGACCTTTAAAGGTCTCTTCTATCTCAGAATCTGAG